CTGAAATGAATGTCAAACAGGGTGCCGGATGCCGGATGCCAGGAATGAAATGATGAACAGAGCCTGGCCGGAGGAGAAAGACAGGGAGGATGCTGTTGTGAAGATAAGACGAACGGTGGGCGGCACGAGACGGACAGTGTACTACAGTCTGTGAACGAGGGGGGGGCATCTCTCTTAACCCTGCTAGTTGCACCCGAGACCTGAGGCCTCGCCTTCTGCCTCATACTTACGCCTCATACCTGAAAGTCATTCTTGCATATCATCAGGCGGGTTTGGATGGTATTCGTCAGTTGTAGCAGGGGTGGGGGTAAGCATGGCTCAGGTGTGCGCATGGACGCCTTTGTTGTGCTGAACGCCACGCTTCGAAGGCGGCTACTGGAACCACCTGTAAAGCAGCGAGCTTGTCTCGCCACAGCCCTGAATAAGTCTACGAGATGCTCGCCAAAGCATGGCGAACTGATGGTGTGACTACTGCTCCGGGCACTACTCGTCCCCGCGCCATCCAATGATGGGTCCTCAAGGCAGGTAGGACGAAGCCGGGTTTGTCGCCGCTTTAAAGCAAATGAGACCCCACTCGTAGCGCCGACTCCTCACAGGCGCGAATTCGAATTCGCATGCTAAAGTTCAATTGAGACCATGTAAATCCACATCACGCTCCATGTCGCGGTAGCGATGTCGCACCGAGCATGTCACAGGAGCCATATCCTATGGGTTCTGGCATTGGCGACATCGCCCATTTTGACGGTGGCGTATCTGCGACCCCGGAGCCGAGAAGTGTCCTTCTTTACCATGAACAGGCTTTCGTAGATAACGAAATGCGAGACTTGGAGCCATGTTTATCATCACGCACTCTACGGGAGGTGAATCTCATTACATATCGACGGCCGAATTGAGTGTCGGCGACGGGAGTGACTAGCAAGCGGAACTGACTCTGTACACCATGCTCTCTTTCATACCACGAGCAAAAAACGAGCCATGCTAAGTCCGCGCCACCGTCCAAGCCTAGCTAGTTTAGCCTGAAGCCACCCCCCTACCTGTGTCACCAAATTGCGACCCGGTTTAGTAGTGTTGGTAGGAGCTTCAGAGCCACTTCTTGTTCTCTATCCTCGGTTTGGCGGTGAGACACTAAACGAGCTACTTGTGACTTGGCCAGGCTCTGGACATTATAGGAGCCTGCGGCCCAGCTCCTCTGAGAACATGCTAAGGTGCATCACAACTTTGGGATCGTTACCGTCAGGTTAAGATCCCTCTCCCAGCCAGTTAGTCTGCTGGTTGCGAAGCAGGCTCTGACACTTAATAATTATTCAAACTCGAGTGTTATAGGTCGTGAGTTAGAATATATAGTTCTCGATGCGTAAATGTATCTTTTGATAGCAGACTTACAGATGATAAAGTCGTCTTCTCGTGGTCAACCGATTCATAGATTGTGGATTGAGGACTGTCACGCGGTACAAATGATTTAATAAGAAGGTCGCTGTGCCCTGATCAACACTCGGCTTGCACCACTCGGTTACTGCAGCGGCTTTCTGTTGTGTAGATTCGGTGCTGACTTGGTTTCTCTAGGCAAAGACGTAGATACATGTTTGTGCCACTGAATAAGCGATTTAGCCTTTCGAGTTTCCCGCTAATTTCTATCCTTCGCAAATGCTGTTGTGTTCTACAACTCGTGCCACTGATCGTTAGAATTAAAGTTCACGCTTGTTCCTTTCGCCTCAAATCCTCTCGCGAAAAGTTCGGCTCTGGCGAGAGCTCTGACGAAAAAGTGGCTTTGTCAGCTACACCTAAGAACGGAGGGCGCATTTGCTGCTGACGACGTAGTAACGGTTTTGGGATGAATACGGCAGGAAAACGTGCATGACCCAGGTTTCACCGCCCGGAACGTTTCGTTTTTGGCATGAACCTCGCTTATTACAATTATGTTGTCAAGCAGCTCCCGGCTTGTTGCCCTGAAATTACGCCTCCAAACCTGCCCAGCCCAGGAGCGGTCGACAAACGACTAAGATTGCCACAATGAAAACAGAGAATCTGCGTCTTGCGGAGCGGAAAAGGCTCTTGGAGCTGGAAGATGTCATCACAAAGATGTAGGGAACACATTTACTTTTTACTGAAGCGACAGCATCTCATCCCTTCTGGGCATCACATACGATTAAATGGGTCGTCTAATCTCTGCGTTATGGCTGACGTAAGACAGTAGTTCAAGAGCCTTTGAACGTCATCCGCTAAATGGAGAGAGGCTTCGCTCGTGCACATGCCAGACGTGACTGACTCCAATTAGGCTTCCCCTTCTCTCTCTCCATATCGTCGGCTGGACATTGCAGCAAGAGCATGAGCATAGCTGGGCCAGATCCTTGGAGAGGTCGTGTTCTGTAGATGCCTCGTTACGAATTTGCCGAGAAGCATCATAATCAATCCAAGGCTGAAGACTTCGGGTTACAGCACACAATAATGAACCAGATGAGAAACCAGGCAGCTTGACGCTTGGCTTGTTTCCAGCCAGGAATCAGTAGGCCAAAGATGCTACGACGTGCTCACTTGTAAAATCTAAGCTCCCAGGTCTTAACTCAACAGCACCCCCTGATCAAATCGGAACACCGAAATCAAGGCAGGATGTTTGGACCCCCTGAGACTATGTAAGCTGAGGCTGCCAATCAGAATACCACATATATGAGCGCTTGTGGTGGGGCCTAAAGCGGCGGCTTAAAGAGGGGAAAGGTCATGTGGGCGCGTACTGTGCGGGCCATCTTGGCCTTGTAGTAGAGACTTCTCCGAAACGTAATACTGCCCTTACTGGTTTATCGAGTGGGAGAGCGGACGGGATCCCGAGCTTTCCAGTAGGTATGGTCGTATGTGCTTGGAAGAGAGCCATTCGTTGTTCATATTGCTTGTGTTTTGTGTGGTGGTAGCACGCCGCGACTGGGCTGAAAGGGTATCAAAGTGGATTTGAGGCAAAGCCGATGCCAGTCATGACAGCGCAATCTGCCACCCCGTTCACTATTAAGGCATATTTACTACATGTTGCTAGAATCTGCAGTGAAAACGCCTCGCAATATGGTCATTGATGCAAGTGCAGGCTTCACAGCAAAAGTTTGGTCTGATGATCAACCAATCGACCCAGGACACACGGTGTTGAACCTGGAAATCCAATGCATCCCGGGAGAGTGCAACAAAGCCGCAGACGCCCTTCCCGGACCATCTTCAGCTCAGTTGAGTGCAATGACGACTTATCCCACTTTGTGAGCCAGGACAATCAATGATGGCTCATGGGTCTGGAAAGACGGGTCGGGAGGCTACCAAGACCCAAAGCAACGAGCCTCTGAGAAGCATGAAGCTGAAATCGGCTGCTGTGGTTGACATCAGGAATGCAACAATGTCCTTATGCCAAATCGATTCTGCATACTTGCTCAGCCCGGGAGAGAAATCAATCGAATTTGCGCTGAAGTGATCGGAGTTCAAGTGTAGATGTATTGGTTAAGTGTGGGGAATCACGTTCACGCCCTTGCGCATCAGGCCTTCCATGAATTCCAGGGCTATGAAGGCTGACCCTGCATCAAGGTAGAACGCTAGTGTTGGTGTGCCAGTTTCGGTTATCCAGGCTAATACGATCTTGAGTGTCTCCGCTGCTATGGTCCCTGTCGTTGGGAATGTGTTTGTGCATGATATAGAGCAGAGTGAAGAGGTCATCTACACGTGGTCTGTAGGCAACAGAAGAGTAGGGGGGCGGAATGTATCTGAGTTCTAGCCCTCTGAAGCTTAGAGGGCCCTCCTTAGTCCTAATATATACGCTGTCATAACTTTTAGCTCCTGACTGGCCCCCTGTGCCGTGGCTCCGTAGGGGCCTCCTGATAGAATGCCTAGGTGAAGCGGCTAAAATAGTCCATCAGTACGAAGAGGTAGCGATAATTTCAGTGCTTGGTATAGAGAAGAGTGAAGAGGTCTTCCACACGTGGTCCGCAGGCAATAGAATAGGTAGGGGGTCGGAAAAGACATGAATTCTGGCCCTCCGCGGCTCCTTATATACGTCTCGTAACCCTTAGCCCCAGACCGACCCCATGCTCGCGTGGCTCCGCAGGGCCACTTGGCAGATAATTCCTCGTAGTAGCGAGGAAGGGCCCCAGTGAATGATGCCCATGAGTTGAAAAGGTTCGCATACCAGGACTTCCATCGGGGGCGCTTTAGGCTTATTAGTTAATGCTTTGTATATATCTAGTAGCCGGCGATATGGTTGATAAAACATAATACTGTACGGGGCTACAATTTCGATATAGCTAGCTTTGTTCTCGTAGAGTTAGGACCCCAGTATCCCGCATCATCTGGTGCCGCTTTCGATGCGTCTGACTCTTCATTTTCCACCAGACGCTGTTGCTATAGTCCCTTCCCAGCACAATAGAGGAGTCTTGCATTTCCAATCTCATAATGTGCAGCTTGGACTATGATAGCTCTCCTCCAGTGCCTGCTCCAGCTGCCCTCATTGGGAGCCCAGGCAAGACAACATGTCCTCCATGAGAGTCAAGACAGGCCAACATGACTAATAACTGACGAACCGATCTACTCGCACAATCGTAGTTGCTTCATTTACCTTTTCTCAAGACAAAATATGTTCTTAGATTCGAGCAATGAGCATTAAGCATTGCGGACTCGTCCTGACAACACCAAGGCCAAGCAGACTTCTGCTCAACATCAGCGAGGTACAAGTTGCGCGTGTGTTACGGACTGGCTCCAGAGAGGCTCAGTTGCAGCTCTCATACAGCTGCGGACTCATAGCTGATTGAGATGACAGAACGCGCACCCGGCAAAGTGCAGATTCAATGAACCCCATTTGTCAAGGTGAAGGCCCCGCGCCGGTTGGTGTGCTTGGTCAGGTTGGAACAAGTGCACCGATTTCTAAGCCCTCGCCATCAGAAGGCCTCGCAAATCATAAACAGTATCATGTTTATGACTCGGGCGGATGTCTTCTTAATGCATGGTTGAAGGCTTCCCTCGACATTGGTGCATACGCATGTCTACAACGTGATCGAACCCTGAGACGAGGATGCCCTAAATGAGAACAAGAATCGCTTCAACCGCATGCCGAAGATCGCACCGGGAACACTCAAGCCATGGACAATCTGACAAATTAGTCTGCGTTAGCACAATACGGACGACCCAAGCGGTGCACTAGGTCGACTTACCACACTGAACGCAACCAGGAACCAGACAATCGTCACCATGAGCTCCTTCAAGCGTCTGAGCTCACCATGCGCTCTGGTTTCAGTCTCAAGACCCCTGAGGAACTCTAGACCAACACAGAGGTAGAAGATGGCCGAGATACCAATGGGGCCGAAGTATCCCACGAAAAGAGCCTGCCGCAAGTCTTCGACCTGGTGGATGTAGCGATAGGATGCTAAAATGAATGGCAGTCGACGAAAGATGAGAATTCCGACCCCAAGGGCAACCAGGCGCCAGAAGGGAAGCAAGTCTGACGCCCAAAACGACTCCCAGGGACATCTCGCTCCGATCCACATGAAAATGACTGTATTGAGCAGTGTGTCCATGGCATGCTGGAATGAGTCCTCGACCGTCTCGAGGCGAAACCAATCATCCCTGGTGAGGGCGTTGCCGGCGACAAAGCACGCCAGTACATCGTCAACGCCGGCCATGCCGCAGGTTCCGAGGATGAAGAGCGCCAGCGCTGCCGAGTAGGTGACGAAGCTCTCGCGGTCGATGTGTCCTTTGCTGTTTGCCCACTGAAGCATAAGCTTGGCGGCATACCCAACGACCCACCCGTAGAGAATGCTCGTACCGACGACGTAAAGACAAGTGTTGCCGAAGAAGGAACCCAAGGCCTCGCCGAGTTGGCTTTCGCCGAGGGACGAGCCAGAGATGGTGCCTGGGAAATACTTGACAATGTCTAGGGCGAAGAACAGAAAAAGATAGCCAAGGCCGTCATTGGCGCCCGACTCGGCAATGATGAGATCGCGAAGACTGCGCGACACGTTCTGGTCGGCGAAACGGCCCTCGAGGACGGTAGCCGACAGGATGGGGTCCGTCGGCGTGATGCATGCGGCGATGGTCATGGCATGAACGAGACTCAGGCCCGGTACCAGCAGCCAGATGATCGCAGTGCTGCAAGCCCACATGGCCACCATGCCGGGTGCAAGGAGCAATGAGAGGGGTTTCCATTCTGTTCGCAGAAATCGCCGCGGCAGAGACACGCCGGCAAACAGCAATTGCACGCCCAACACTATACGAGTGAGGTCCAACGTCGTCGCGGCAACCTCGTCGATGTTCCCGTGTTCTGTGGAATGCACGGGCTCGACAAGACCTGTAGATCTGGCAAACGCGAGCCCGGCGAGAAAAGACAAGCCTGTCGAAGAATTAGGTCGCTGTCCAACACCGTCGTCATCGTGAGGCAAATTGCGTTGAATACGACTCACAGGCGACGGAAAGGTACAACCGGTCCTTGAAAAACGACGAGAAGGGGCCAAAAACAAGTAGCCAGCCCCCGAGGCCTGTGACTGCAAGGTCAAAAGTCGTCCCGGTGAACGAGAACGTGGAATCGAGAGCCATGGCGCATCTGCCTCCGACTGGTTGACTCGTTGATGAAACCAAAGTTCGCGAAGCAAATCACCGATACGCCAGCGTGTACCATATTGTCAGTCATCAGGGCTTGTGCGACTTGACGAGAACCTGGAAAGGGCCCTGCGCCGCCCTGCTCATGGCTTCACCTGGTCATCTGTCGGGCAGGCAAGGAGGATTCGTCCCCGACATGAGGTCTACACAGCCCCCTCAGCGGTTTTGATACAACATGCACTTGTTGCCGGGGACTAAGCCGGTTCCAGTGTCATATATGGGTCATCTGGCGGGCGCACGCCAAGACTTGCCGTTTTGGGCGTTGGGGACATTGCTCTGATTCCCCGTAACGAAGTCGTGTTTTGTGATATGTCAACGGCAAACTTGGTGAGGGATAATCAAGAATATCGTGGTTTAAAAGATGGGTGAGCGTTGGAGCACCCACTATTGCCACAGCACCGGGCGCCTGACTTGGTGATCCGGCTAGATTGACGCTTGTGTTTGGTTGCCAGCACCATGGCTTTGAGGGAGGGGAACTGTGTCCCGAGTGTTTGTTATTGGTCCTTTTCTGAGCCGAATGATTTCCCGCATGTGCGGCGCATGTGGTTTGGCGCTCACATCCTATCATGGGCCGTCTAGGCCAGGCTTGGAGTCGCTCGGGGGCTGAGCCTCGATGAATTTCCTTCTTTCACCCTCACACCTCCTTTTGTCGCCCCCCTCCCCTGACCCCCCCACGAGATATGGTCGTCGTAGTGGTTCCCACATGGCAGGGTACTCGGACAGGGGCCTCGGTATTCAAAGGCAGCACCCCCGCACCAAAAGCTTGTCTTGTTGCTCGTGTCGTCGTAAATTGTGCTTGGTGCTTTTCAGCCTCTTTCGTCTTGTCGCAGAATCTACGGCATTTTGTTGCCGGTTGGTGCCTCTCTGTTTTCTCATCTTCGCGGGCAAGCCTTGCGCATTTTCGCCCTACGTTCGCCCGCTCTTCCGTGTGTCGGCCCCGAAGGATAACCGCCCACGCGCCTTCTTATTCTCTCCCGCTTTTGGCCCGTTGCTGAGCCTGAAGCCCGGCATGTGGAAGCCCCGATTTAACTTCATCAGAATACACTGTAGGTAGAGAGGAGACTGGTTGTGCTGAAGATGACTCTTTGTCGTGGGTTGAGCTCATTCATCATGCAGATGCCTGGATCCTACTCTGTAGCCTGTCAGCCTTTCCGGTGCTGTACACATACGGCAACCTGACGGCTGAAGATGCCTTGCTTTTCGGATGCAGTGCTTCGACCGAATCGGGTCTCAACCCGTGCGTGGGGTTCCTTCGTCTCTGAATGAGACCGCGAGCTGATCACTTTGCACAGGGTTGACGTCAAGGATCTCAAGACTTATCAGCAGGTCTACCTCTACGTCGTTCCGATCATCACAAACATGATGTTTCTCAATGCTATAGTCGTTCCAGTGAGACTCTTCTGGTTCCGTCAACGACTGAGGCAGGCTGGTATGTATTGTCATGATTTGCCCATCCCTCCCCAGCGAGTGCATGGTGAAGATGTTGACAAATGAAAGGAATTGCTCGCGAAGTGGCCAGGAATGATGAGGAAGAGGCACGGCCTGCGACGAGGAGAGAAAGCCAGGAGACGGCTGTCATTGACGAACAAGCACCCGCCCTTGCTCCAGCACCGAGCCCGCCCTTCTCTGCTCCACAAAGAACCACCACGATTACGTTTGATGACAAGGCCATCGCTAGTGGATACTCGAGATCCGAAAAGCAAGTCTTAAGAATTCCAAATCCACGAGAGTCTGACAGAGGTGCGTCGAGCCTTTCGACTTTGTGGCCCGTCTCACGATCATCCTGCAGGAGCACCCATCACTGAAATCGAGCCTGGCCTCCGCCGTAGCTACACTGAGGGTAATCAGTATACGACCACAGATCTCTCCGAGCGGGCTTCAACTGACATATGAGATATAGAGGATCCAGATGCTATTAAACCTTTGCCAGAATTTCGCAGCGGCAGGTCGCGGAGGAGCTCGTTTCATGCTGAAGGCACGATCCTGAGCGCCGCAACATCCATCGAGAAGGCGGCGACGTCAGCGTTCATCCTCGGAAAAGTCCAGCTGGCGCCTCGACGACGTACCACTTCGAAGTCGAGAGCCAGTGCAAACAATAAGCTTGATCTGCCTAATCTTTCTCGACATGCAACTGTCGGTCGAAATTCCAACTTTCACAACTTGACAGAGGCCGATCGCGAGACACTTGGCGGCATCGAATACCGCGCTTTAAAGCTGCTTCTCAAATTCGTGTTCGGTACGTCGAAGTACACTTGGCGGCTGTTCGCATGACTTGGACAGATCAGAGACGTGTGATGACCTCAACCCTCTGACACTTGAGACAGGGTATTTCTTCGGACTTCATTTCTTTGGCGCCATCTGCTTGCTTCCTTGGATCCATAATGCACCATCCAAATACCTGGATGTACTCGCAGAGTCTGGCGTTGGTGCAACTTGGTGGTATGTTACCGGTCATTTAATATTTCTGCTCTTCCACTGACTACGATCTCAGGGCGTTTTATTCAGCGCAAACCATGAGCAATAACCTCGGCTTCGCTCTAACGCCTGATTCCATGGCATCTTTCAAGGATGCCACATGGCCTCTGCTAGTCATGACCTTTCTGGCGTTCGCGGGAAATACCTGCTATCCCGTCTTCTTACGCTGCATCATCTGGCTCACATCATTGATGGTGCCGAAGAACTCGCAGACTCGGGAGACGATACAGTTCATCCTCGACCACCCCCGACGATGCTATACCCTACTTTTCCCAAGTCGTCCGACATGGATTCTTTTTGGTATCGTCGTCATCCTCAACTTTGTCGATGTTGTCCTCATCATCGTCCTCGACCTCGATAACCCGGCAGTCAACGACCTGCCAGTGGGCCCTCGGATTCTGTCGTCGCTTTTCCAAGCTGCATCAGCTCGTCACACGGGTACGGCAACACTCAGTCTTGTTGACGTGAACCCCGCTGTTCAATTCAGCCTCTTGACAATGATGTATATCGCCGTGTTCCCCATTGCCATCAGCGTTCGCGCCTCCAACACGTACGAGGAGCGTACGATAGGTATTTGGGCTAGGGAGGAGAACCTCAACGAGGACAACGGCGTCTCTTATGTCATGGTCCACGTCCGAAACCAACTCACCTTTGACCTGTGGTACATCTTTTTAGGGACATTCCTGATCTGCATCGCAGAGTCGACGCTTATCATGGATGTGGCCGAACCGGTACGTGGCACTCCTGAGACATGTGTGACACGATTCTCATGTTTGCAGACTTTCTCCATTTTCGCCGTCCTCTTCGAAGTCACCTCGGCCTAGTAAGTCGCCCTCCATTTGGCTGCGAAGATTGTGCCGCTAATTTGATCGGCACAGCGCCAACGTCGGGCTCTCTTTGGGCGGGCCAAGCGGACTTGTCTCGATGTCGGGACACTATACGATATTCAGCAAGGTCGTCATTTGCGCGATGATGATCCGAGGCCGTCACCGTGGTCTTCCTTACGCCCTCGACCGAGCCATCACTCTTCCCTCGGAACATACTCTATCGGACGAGAGTTCATCTGCTGACCAAATCCCGAAATCGCTGTCGCTTGGTCGCACCCAGTCATCGGGAGCTCGCTCAGCACCGTAGATTCTGCTCAAAATGGAGTTCGAAAACCCCGCCTTCCGAAGACAGACCTCGGAAAACACCTTTCCAACAGGGCTTCATTGCCGTGACCGCGGAAGGATAGCAAGTGACCCATACCTAGATTCATAGACTGATCGCTGATTTGGCCGAATAGCAGCCTACGGGCATTAGGCATGTTTGAACACTAGTTTCTGCCCAGCATCTTCGACTCTCGTGAAACTTGTAACTTAACCGCATAGATATGAACATCGGTTCGCCTATCAAATGGCAACACCTCATCCGTAAATAAAAGCCATCCGTGAACAGCCGCCGCCGATTTGCCGCTGCAGCTGTGCGGCAACTATGGACATGATGTTTTGAAAACCACTGGCAAATGCGTCGTGCCCAAGTCTTGCTTGATGCACGAAAATATTCACTGTCTTCCACTTCTGAGAGGCTAGGCTATGATTTCTAAGGTCTGCGGACTTTCTAAAGAAGGGCTTGACTCATTATGTGAAAGAGGCAAGCTGCGAGCGGTCGGCGTGTCCCAAATATCCCTTCTTGAGGATTTTGGGCAACGAAGAATTGCCGGCAAAGCTTTGTTTGGGATTGTTCATCATGCATCATAAGTCTCCGATCTTTTCGTCAGGCGTTCCATATCAAGGCGACGATGGTCGCTTCCGGACGCTTTTGGGGTGGAGAAGAGGACGAGCGCAGGCGCGTTGAGGCCCAAAAGAACCTTGCAGGAAAGCAATGTCGGAGGGCAAACGACCCGCCTTTGTCGTACTGTACAAGAAAACACTCGACAGAAGGTAGCCCACCAGAAGGCTCTACAGTAGGGTTACAACGTAGCAGGGAGGCATGGGTCAGTGCTGACCTACTGTAAGTCTGTAAATGGGGGTGCGCTATCATTTGGTGTGAAATTTTTTGTCGACCACTTAAGATGGTGCTTTCTGAACCGCGAGTGACGGACTGCAGGGTATGGATCGTCTCGTTTCTCGTATTGCTATTGCAGCTAGGATGCAACTTCGGCCAGTATGAGTAATCGTTTAAGTATGCCTCGTACGCTCCCTCATGCGAACAGGCTCCTAGGGTAGAGTATTCATGTTGACGTGTTGACGATGCCCTCGAACAGATACTTTGTATAGAGTGGCCATGAGGCAACACCCCGAGGCTATTCTTCCTGTTCGCGAACCTGGCCTTGTGACGAGTTTCTTTTTTAACGCATCGGGCGCCATCGGCAGGGGCCTCTCAACCAAGATTCGAGTGCCGACAGGTATTTCTTACCGCGCAACGAGGTCTCTTGCCTCTCTTAACATCTCCTGTATCCCGAAAGAATTGAGAAGCAGCTGGCTGGGTCCCTGGACGAGAGCAGTGCTTCCAGTCTACTTCAAATTGATCGTGATAGCGACTTGTTCGCTATCTGCGCGCAAGGTCATCGATGCATACTTTTAGTTATGATACCGTGATAAAAGAGAGTAGAAGTAGTTGCTCAGCTTGCCCTTCCTGGCATCCCTTGGAAAAGCGTTAATAGCGTGTTGGACATGTTTTCCCCTGACGTTCATTTATCGTTGTACGTGGAGGATGTCGGACACGTCTCAGCGCACATGATCTGCAATGGCATCGGGAAGTATCCAGCCATTCGATATGACTGGTGTTTTGGGAGTATTGACTGTCGACAAACCCAAGCAAATTCCCTCGATAGATTCGCTTTATCAGGGGACTCTGAAGCTTGCGAGCCTCCTTGTCATGCTCCGAGTCTTCAGAGTACTCGGTGAATGCTCCTCAGCATTGAAGGTAACTATCTTGTCAAATTGCTCGATCCTGGCGTGCCGCCGTCACCTTTTTCGAGGTGTTTATTTCGTAATCCTAATCCGAGTCTCGTCAATAATGAAACAGCTGAATAGCCCCATGCTGATTGTCAGCCTCCATACGTCGCTCCAAGAACCATACGCAAACAGACACAAAGAATCCTCACGAGCAAGGCGCTTGGCGAGCCCATCGACGTCGTTCACGTCAATCGCAGACCACATCAAAGCCATGGTCCCATACCCGCCCCCACAGCAGCGACTCTAGCCAGCGGCACAGGCGGTAGTCTGCATGAATATCCGCCTGGCGCAGGGCACTTGACAGGTCCGGTATTTTGGGGGCTGTGCAGGCATGATGCAGAAACAAGCGCAGCCCACTACCTAGATTGTGAGGAATTCTGGTTTCTGGGGTTTTCGTCGAGGTGCTGACGTCGATGTGCCTGGCTCATAAAGTGAAGCCCTACGCAGCACCTCTTCGCTGCATGCTGCCCCCTTCCAGACCCTGAACCCTCCCCCCTCTCCCCCCCCCCTCTCAGGGTCGTATTGAGCAGAGGCCTCCATGTGCATGGTAGTGAGTGTGGGGCTAGCATACGTCGAAAACTCGATGCCCGTCCGGGTTTTGACAGCTCACGATCACTGCATATTACTACCTACCTACCTGTCAGATGAATGCTAGTCCAATGTCATGTCTCGGCCGCGCCGGAGCCTGCCTACCGCCGCGACAAGGTTTCGGTTTCGATAAGCCGGGCAACGGAAGGCAGCGGCTCTTTGAGGGGGTGGGAGGAGGCCGGTGGCGAACGGCTAGGGATGGAATAAGGTTTTAGCCCAACCTTGAAGAACAAGAAAAAGGGCCACTCGTCCGTCTCCCGTTGCACGGCACATGGGGGTTTCCAGGTACCGGTTTAGGGAAACAAGTCCAGCAGCACGTTGCGGGTTCCGGCTTCTCGTCAAGCGGCACCCGGCCTTGTCAAAAGGGTACCATGTAAGCGAACAGGATTCGCAACCCAGCACCAAGTCGGCTGTCTGTCCAGTGGGCGGCGGCGGGGGCACCCCCAGAGTTGAGGAGCATCCCCTCCCACACCCCCTCTCCAGGCGTCGTCCCTCTCTTCCACACGCCCCTTGGCGCCCTGGTCAGGCGTCAGGTCCGGGACTCCTTTTGGTTACGTGGGGCGCAAGGGGCATCGCGCGCCGCTTGCGCGCTTCAAGAATGGCGGATCATGCGCGGATGAATACCTTCTCCAAGGGGGTGACAGATTAAGCCGCACTTGAAGCCCGGCAAACACACAGGTGTCATCCAGAAAGACTCCTCACTTCGCAACCCTCTCAACACCTCGTATCTGAAGTAAATGCTCTCAAATTCTACATACTAGATAGTCAGCGACACTTTTGAGGGAAAATTTACTTTGATTAGTTTTGAGCAGATGTAAAGTATAGAAGATCGGTTTAAAGTGAGCTCACCTCTAAGGAGTGCGGCTTAATCCGTTCCTCTTGCTCTCTCTTCTCTCTCTCTCTCTCTCTCTCTCTTTCTTTTTCTCTCTCTCTCTCGCTCAACCGCCAACACCTGCCCAGCATGCCCAAAATGCGCGTCACAGCGAGATGTTGATGCAACTCTCGTTGGCCCCGTGCCCCCGCCCTGTACTTCAACCCACCCCCCTTTCCTCCCTCTCCATTCGTTTAACGCTGAGGATCCTCCCTGATGACGGAGTGGTACCACCAGGCGCCCTTGCGATCAGAAAGCCGGAGCAGCGTCGTGACTATACAGCCCCACAATGGGGGCGCGGGAACCCATTTCACGCTGCGTCTGGTCGCATCGCGGCTGTCTGCTGGGCTGCTGTCGCTGTCGCTTGAGTGAGAGAGAGCACCAATGTGGGTTCGGGATATTCTGCTGCCTAACGGGCGACCATGAACGTTTGGGACATCGGCAGGGCCTAAAAATAAGGGGGGGAAGGGGGAGGGGGGAAAACATGGGCGGCTTCGGGTCGAGTCCCTCGGAGGTGTGGACGTTGGAAGAAAACCCCCGGGTTCGCGCCTCTCTCACCACCCGTTTCCTCTCTTCCAATCCGGTCCTCGTTGCACTTTTGTCCGAGTCTGCCATAACACTCTTGTCCTGGCCGGCCCTCTTGCTTGGGAGGGAAAGGCGAAAGGGAGGCGTAACGCAGTTACCAACGGCACACCCGCACGCTCGCACACAGACAAACAGACTGACACACGCACCACCCTTTCCCATCCTTCCAGGCTTCTCTCTCGGCGTGTTTCTCCCCATCCATGACCCTATCATTGAGCCGGTCCGCCACCCAGATCGCCCTACAAGGCTGTACAAGCCCTACCACCTACCCTACCTACCTACTACGCCTTACGCCTTACGCCTTACGCCAGCGCCAGCGCCAGCGCCAGCCCCGGCGTCCCCCAAAAAGAGGACTTTTCTGATCAGATCCTGTCACATTCAAGCCGAACTCCGACCGAGTCCCCACGCCCATCCCACGCCGCGCGCAACCGGGTACCTGAGTCTGTGCTCTGCCGAGGCCCTGCCTTTTGCCCCTCCCTAACCCGTCACAGAGCCGAAGGAAGCATACAGTACGACAAGAATTCGCCTGTGGTAAGAAATTCCTTCTACGGCTGTGCAGTCGGAGAAACGGGGGAGGGTCCTAGAAGGGCAGAAGGAAGAAGAAGCAAGAAAAACCATGTTCGCAACCTTTTACGCCTCGGAGCCCACCTCGCCAGCGACGACTTTCATTTCCGCGGGGCCTGCGGATCTCCAGCCGTCCCAGGGCGGCGATTCGGCAACAGCCGGCGGCGGCGCCGGAGGTGGCGGCGGCACGGGATCATCATCAGCCACTGGCGGCAGCGGCGGCAGCGGCGGCACCACCACCACACAACCCGGCGTGCTCCGGCCAAAACGAAGTCAGGTCGCCCGCGCCTGCGACTGGTGCCGCATCCACCGGATCAAATGCGATACGAACCAGCCGTGTCGCAACTGCGAGGCGCGCGGCGGCCAGTGCAGCAACAGCGGCAAGCTGGGCGAGGTGCGCACCCTGCCGCGGGCCATCCGCGAGATTGAGAGCTTGCGGCTGCGGGTCAAGGACCTCGAGGCCCAGCTCGAGGCGACCAAGGGGCCATCGGACACGGCTGAGTCGACGGCGAGGAGTCCGTCGAGGTCGCTGACGCCGAGCTCGGTCAGCGGCTCGTGGGAGGTTCCAGCGCTCGTCGGGATGCACGGCGGTGGCGCCACCAGCAGTGGAAGCCCAAACATCCATCTGCATCCTGGCGGTTTCGGCACGCCGCAGTTCTACGGTCCCTCATCGACGAATTACTTTGTCGACCGCATCACCAGCTACCTCAAGAGCGCAGTCCCTCAACCCTTTCTCCAGTCCATGCTCGAGAATGGTACCGGCCCAGACGTCGAGCAGCCGCAGTTTTCGCAACAGCAGCACTATCGCAGCCCAATGTCTGGTCGCAATCTGACTGGCGCGCAGGAGGTCTACTTCCTCGACCTGTATTGGCGCTCGTGGCACACTATTCACCCAGTGCTCGATGAGGCGGACTTCCGTGCTCATTACAAGTCGCTCTGGGCCAGTTCGCACTCGGCGGATTCGAGATTGCCATCGGCGCTTGTCGACATTGTGCTCGCCCTGTGCATGCAGTTCAGCGTGGCCTCCACTCCTCGCGACAACTCGTTTGAGACCTCCTCTTCGGAACCCGCCTCGAGCGCCGGACGCTTCCTGCACCACAGAGCCCAAGACATCCTCGCCGCGTCATTAGAGTCGCCAAGCCTCGCCACGCTGCAGTCCCAGTTCCTGTCAGCCGTCTACCTCGCAAACGCGTCTTACCAGACCACGGCCCACGCGACCCTCGCCTCGGCCGTCCGAACAGCCCACGCCCTCGGCCTCCATCTCGACCCGCCATCGACCCTGCCGCGGCCGCAGGCCGAGCTGCACCGCCGCGCCTGGTGGTGCCTCTTCGCCCTCGACACGCGCCTCAGCATCCGCCTAGGCCGCCCTTGCGCAACCCACCTCGCGCAGACGACCTGTGCCCTGCCGTCCGAAGACCCGTCTCTCGAATCCGTGACGGCAGAACTCGACCTCCTCGCCCCGTCCCGGCTCTCCTACACCCTGCACGCCGTGACCCTCGCCCTTGCCGCCCGCAGGCTGCACCACCGCCCTCTGCCGACGGTGCCCTCGGCGCCGCCGTCACAGGAGGATCTCTTGCCGCTAACGACCTGGCGCGCGGCGCTCCCGCCGCCGCTCGCCTTGCCAAGAGTAACAGGCGCAAACTGCGCCGCCTTTGCGCCGCCGTGGCTGACGCGCCAGCGCCTGCTGCTCGATCTACACTACCATGATCTGCTCATGGCGCTGCTGAGGCCGAGCATCCTGCTACCACCGGCAGGCGATCCCGCGCCAGCGGAGAGGGCGGCGCGCCACGCCATTGCCGCGACGCACGTCCTGCAGCAGGCCGGCGGGGGTCCGCTTGACATGGGTTGGTCGGAGCCGGTGTTCCTGGCGTGGAACGCCGCAGTCACGCTCGCAGGCTACATTGCTGCATATGGCAGCGACGGGTCCGTCGGCGGCGGGGCGAGAGCGGCGGTCTGGCGGGCGATCGAGGTGCTCGAGGGGTTCGGTGCCGGTGAGGCGGCGGCGGCGGTGCGAGAGCTCGTAGCACGGGCGGACGTTGTTGCTGTCGGGGGCAGCGTTGATCCTGGGCTTGGAGCCCAATTTGGGGGATTCGGAACAGGGTTCGGAGAGGCTGGCGACGGTCTGTATGAAATGTGGTCCTACGGGATGGAAAGCTGAGGAGCCTTGGCCAGGAGCATGGTGGTTGTTAGATGCATATGCGATACATGATACCTACGACTGGCGTTGGGAAATAATCGAATCAATTTCGACGACACTGTCTGGTCCTCGTCTGCGGCTCAACTCATCTGCCGGGCTTTGCCAATCTGATAGTCGCATATTTGGGCATCTCAAGTGCCGTGACTGTGGTAGCATCCGAGTACTTCGGAATGACAAGAGGGCATCGCCGGCAATCTGACTCGCGTCAGCCAACTCACTTAATTGCCGAACCTGGTACCGCAGAAAAGCCGCCGATAGCAGCTCCGATGGCATAAAACCGACACAGTTGAGCCAAAGTCCGACAGACAAGTAGCTGTAAGACCCGACAGACAATGCTTCAGAGTAGCATCTTTCTTGCGAAAGCCGTCCTGACAAGACCTATCGCCGAAACCCAAGTTCATAAAGCCGCTCGAATCGCATGTGAAATTCTCCGGCGTGGAGAACATAGTGGGCCTCTGATGGGCATTGCCAAACGTAGCTGTAGTGGAAAAAAGCAATTCGCTGGCCCAGCTCGCCTTTCACCGACATTGTCCTGCGCCATCGGGCAGCGCAGTATCATACTGCCGAGCGTTCCTCCCTAACATTGATTGATCGTCGCACAGATCGGGGCAATCTCGCATCACGAATAGGCCGCCGCAAGAATATGAGCTAATGCCGACGAGACATCGGGACAGCCTCTCGGCGAAAGCTGCTCCGAGAGCCAATGCGCCAGGCTTCGGCCGCAGACTCCTCCACAGATTGCTTGTATCGGAGGCAGCGCCCAACACAGTCGTTAGGACCGACGGTGATAGGCTTTGCGTGAAGAGCGTCCGAGGAGATAAAATCTGTGTATGGTCGGCGATAGCCCCCACGCGAATGTTGCATTCAGCTGAGAAGAGGAGCTTCGGCACATCGATGATGGTCTCTCTCTCTCAACTCCGTGGGTGCTGTAGCTGACCGGTATATTCCAATATCTCTCCTCTTGTTCTCACTAAAGGATTAGTACCGGCTAAGACCATGAGGATAAGTGACCAGGGGGGTTGTCATGAAGGTTCATTTCTTGGTGTCGGGACCATCTCGACAAGCATCCAATATCGTACCATGAAAACATACTCCTCTAATAAACGCCGTAATCAACCTTGCAAACCTCACATTACAAACGCCGCGCCCCAACTTCAACATAGCCAACCATCGCGCAACCAAAGCAGCCAACACGACTTTCAGTGCTGTGTCGCCGGGTGAGCGGACGGCTCTCTGCCCTGGAACAACCAGAACTCGCCCAGACCGCTCTGCGCGTTCTTGAGGAATCTGCCTAGCCCCCGGCGCAATGACTTGTGGCGAGGATGCTTTCCGCGACCGATCCACAAGTTCTCCAATGCGCGAGGCGACGTCCAGAATACAAGCCCAGCGATGAGAGGGTTGATAAGATGGCGACGCAAGGGTGAAAGGCCGGGCGCGTGATGTTTCGTCACATCATACTCCAAGAAGAGGACAATGTTGCCCAGCACATTAATCAAGCGGATGATGCTACAAAGTTTAGCACGAGCGGGTGATGTCAGACTTCAGCAGACTCACAGATGCATGATGAGCAACACCTCAGCAGCAACCTTGCCGGCATCATACTCGGCCTGCATCTCTCTAATCATGACATAGAGGGGCGGGATGCCGAGACCCAGGATGGTGAACTCAAGGCTGCCAACAATATGATATGTTCTAACCTCACGGCCACGCAGCCAGAGAATAAGGAGGATGAGGCCCATGAGAAGAAACGCCATCCGCGTCACGTCAGCTGCGAAAACTCAACAACAAACAAGCGACTTACCACACTCGGCACGACAACAACTTGGTTATCCGCAAATAACCTCCACAAGAGGATATACGTGACGAAAGCTATGCCGGACCGGATACACACCAGAATGTAGTAGCCTACCATGACCATCTGGTAAATCTGGGCGCAGCGCGGATGCAGTTCACGGGCAGACCGTGGCCAGTACTCTTCCTTCGCGGGATCATTGGTGCAGGGCCAGCCGCACCAACGGCACACGCGAACCTTGCGCTCACCACCCTCGGTGAGGACGTACTCGCCGGGGCAAAGCTGGCCCTGGCGGACGGCGCAGTCGGCGCAGTTCGCGGCAAGTGGGACGCTGGGATCGGGGCAGTAGGTCATGCTAGTCGCCGGCGGGGCCTCGATAGACGCGCCGTCATCTGACACCTCGCCGTCGGATGGCGCAGGCTGAGCACACGATGCGAGTGGCCACAGCAGCCGACGGCCGGTGCCGTCGTAGCGCAGACAGCTGCGGCAGACGAAACGTAGCGAATAGTCGGTTGCGAGAGAGCCCAGACAAGTTCTTACAAAGTTGATGTCGATGAGTTGACGGTAGAATTTGTTGGTGCAGCGTAGGTTCTGCAAGTCGCCATATCCGAGATGAGAGCCGATGAGAAACTGTAGTTCCATGGGCAGGTAAAGTAGCGAGGCATAGGGGTTTTTGCGGCTGTGATAATCCGTGTAGATGATCGGAGCCGTTGTCACCTCCTCTGCGTGTTTCTCGGAGCGCTTCTCTGACAGCGTCGCTCTGGTTGCATTGTCGAGAGCGGCAGAACCTCGAGAGGCCTCCATGGGCTGCAGTGGGCCGCAGGCCAACGACTGGCGTGTAGGCGGCGAGAAGCTTGATGAGCTTTTCCTTTCTGTAAACCGCAATGCGACAACGTGAGACGAGGCTCGTCACGATGATGAAGCTGGGAGGTCAAACTCGACGACGGGATGACGCACAGATGAGGCGTTACGAGGCCGACAAAGACCTGAGAAGACGGATCGAAGGGTGGTTTTTCTGGCGCGGGATGGCAAGGCGAGTCGAATCACTGCTCGGTTCCTGAAAGTTGACCGACTACCACAGGACCCTGAGCAGTGATGCAAGGTCAGGTCAGTCTCTGGCGGGGGAGGCGGTGCACCACGCTGCCCCCCTTGTCGATACGGCAGGGTATTGGGTTCGACTGTGTCAAAGAACGGTTCGGGAAGCCTCCGTTGGCGGGCTAGAGCCGTGGAAAGGGTGGGTTGCGCCAAGCCGTTCTGGGCGAGACGTCAGCAACAGATGCGTCCATCCAGTCCGTGACCCCTTTTGCCCCTCCTTTTTGATGCACCCGACCCTCTCCAAACCCACTAGCAAAGCTCAACGAGGCGGGGGACTTTTGGGCAACACTAGGTCCGCCGTACCATTTGTGACGACGACGAGCGAATATCTGGCAAACGCCCAGGCCGGCCCAATTGCACACGGGTGGCGCCAAGAGGAAAAAGACGCAGAGCGAGAATGTGTCCATGTACGCGGAAGAAGTCATTGCTCGGGGGAGTATCTGGGTTCGCATGCTGCCCACTGGCACACCCGAGGTGGCCCTTTGGCCATTCGCCGCCGGTTCCAGATCGATTGATTCCATGCGCGTCGGGACGCCACGCGAACAAGGTTGAGGGAGCACGCATGCCGCGGCCAGCGAAGGCGACAGATGCTTGTCGGGTGGCACACCGCCGGGCAAGCCAGAAGCCAAATAATGGTCCAGGCCTTCATTAGCACCGAACACACCCATCGAGGGATGTGACAATTGCGGGTTCAATTCGGGCCATCGCCCGTGAAACTCTGTTTGACAGGATCGAGAAACGCGGATAAGGGTTCTAGGGCCGTGTCTCCATTCAGCCATCACTTTCATAGTCCGAAAAATATTCAAATGAAGCAGGCAGCGGTGCGTCCTTGCTAGACGGCGAGTCAGGGTCGGCTTCATCCACCAACTGCTTTTGCACCTTTGCGGCTACGATACTCGTCTCGGCCGCAGAAGACACAGTCGTCGTTGGTGTTGCTGTTTCTACTGCCGCCGCTGCGACGGCGGCTGAGGTTCTCGCGACGCGGTCCGGCCGCACCATGGTCGTCATCCAGCGGCACCATTCCCAGGGCCGTTCCTTATCCGGCAACCCGTTGAAGTACTCCCAGCCCATCACGCCTCCAAAGGCCTTGTAGCGGCCTCGGAGCCGGAGGAGGACGGCGCCGAGCGACTCCCACGGCACCCAGCCGTTGCCGTTCTCGTGGCTCGTCAGCAGCCCAATGACAATCTTCTCCTGCGGCCAGCCCTTGGCAAGCATCATCTCGTACATGAAAGAGTTGCTGCCGTCGCCCCAACCATTGTAGAACTGGCAGTTGTACCAGTTGATATGGTCGCCTTTGAGGAGCTCGAGCATCTCGTAGTCGAAGCCGCTGAGATTCCTCTCGGGGTCGAGCATGGCAGCAGCGACAGGCGCCATGGAGACGAGGAATTTGGGTCCAAAATCAGCGCGTATGCGGTCGAGGAGGCGCATCATGCCCGCTATGCTCATGTACTCCTCGACGTCGAGATCGATGCCATCGAGCTCGCGCTCGCGGATGAGATCTCGTACGGGTGTCCAGTACGTCTCCAAGGTGGCCTCGTCCCGGTCGAGTTTGGCGTAGGACCCCTTCGCGGCGCCGCCCAGCATGCCCATGACCTTGACGCCGCTCGCCTGGAGGACGCGCAGCTCGGCCCAGAGGGTCTGAAAACGGGGGTGGGAGGGGGTGTGATCGTTGAGCGTTATGGCCGACGGGTCGTCGTTGATGTGTATGGCAGCAAGAATGACGTGGGTGACGGCAATGCCTGGCTGGGTCAGGATGGGTAAGATGGATATCGGCTTGCCATCGCGAGTGTGATGGGTTTGGTAGTAGGTGATGACGCGGGGGAACGAGTCGTCGTTTTCGGAGGGCAGAGGAGGCATGGACGTATTTGGAGCGGTGGGGATTCGAATTGACTTCTGTAGCTGGATCGTACGGGATAGGATTTTCGGAAACGTTTTGGTCGTGTCAATGGCGGTTGCGATGCAGTGTCGGTGATGCGGATTGATACTGTTGGAGGAGGAAAGCTCCTGGAACTTGAAGCTTCAACTTTGGCAAGGCCCGCTGGCAGAAGGAGCTTCAGGTGGGGAGCTTCAAAGCTCGGAGGCCAGTTGGCAGCTGCAGCGGAGCGCATGGCAGGTAGGGGCGCCCAGCGCACCTTCCAGCGACGATTCCAGTGCCTGTTGATCCCTGCAAGGCTGGCAGGGGCGACCTGGCGCCAAGGGTCCACCCGCTGCAGGGTGGCAGGTGCCCCCTCGCAGCATGCCTGCCTGTCTTGTGGCCGTCCTGTTCGCGCAGGAGCTCTGTATCCATCATGATTGCCTCTGCCAGTCCGCACAATTGCTTCGCGAACCGGTTTCATCACGACGTCTTCAAGGGTCAGGAACCTCAAGCTTGCTCACGGGCAGATCTTCTTTTCGCATTGCCATTGCGAAAGGTATGTACCTGTTCTGAGGTCTCTAGCCTGTTGTGTACCTGTCAGGTCATGACAGTCAAGCTGCCGACCATGGAGTCTCTGCCCAGGCTGACTACTGAGAACAGTTTGACAAAACTCACCTGAGCTCTTGACAGATTAGCACTCTGTTCTAAACGAGAAGCTGGCAGTCCTATGAGGGATCGTGGCAGCATGTTTCAACAAAATGCTAACGTCAACGCCTGGCTCGGTACGACCTTGTCGAGGAACTGGACAAGTCGAGGCCTTTCGCAAATTCATGAGAAAAAGAAGATCGATTCAGCCTCTTGCTTACTTTGACACGCCATCTTTGAAGCTGCTTCCCGAGTTGCTTACATCGATCGAGGATGGGTCTCAAATATCGTCTCTCCCACTCCAAGGACAGCGAGAGGCGGCTATATAAGTCATCCCAGCCGCTACAAGCTGCTTCTCAGGGGAGCAAATGAACCGAAAGATTTTGGCATCGTGGCGGTCTGGAGCACATATTTCGTCCTCTCAACGGCCACTAAGCTCCGCCCGAGTGGACACATGGCTTCCGTTGGGGACATGGCTTGCTTGAAAGACATGGCTAGCTTGCAAGTCTTTCCTCCTGCTGGCATAGAAGGGCCCCTTGTTGGATGAGACAGTACTGAACTATGTCCAGATATTAAATGCGCCTCTTCCACGACAACATAGCCTCATGCCTTTTTGGCAATACCCAGAAAAAGGGGCTAAGCGGCGTAGCTCGTGTTTTCAATAGCATTGGATTTGATGCTCTTGATCATCACCAGTCTGAAGTTACTCGGACTCTGTGTTCATGGAATATATATGGCACGTTCGTATCTGGGGCCGAAACAGACAACGGGTCGGTCAAATCGTGAGGACCCTGAATCCCCCGAAGAATTCCATGACGCATTTGGGTCGCAATCAAGAGAGTCCTCATCATCGACTCTAAAAGCAAGATTAATGTGCAAGCGAACAGTTTACCCGATTCGAATAACGGCACCCTACTCGCATTTTGACAGACAGCCATCGGCGCTCGGCCATCGGTGCTCCGCTGGATGGCTATCCACCAACGAGGCGGTTCATCTTCAGATGGGCTCATTGATGACACGAGAATCACTGACACGGCAGTTCACTCTCAACATGACCGCTCCACAACATCTTATAACGATGAGAGAATAGTCAGCTCGCCGTGAGGATCGGAGCGAGCTCCGTATGTGAGGAGTGGTGCTGTCGGAGTATGGACCCACTCATTTCCCGCACCTCGGGCTTCTCAGTATGCCGAGGGCCGGGCCAGATCTAAATCTGGAATTTGACTCGTGGGCGAAGAAGAGCCTTCACAGCAAATTTGGATGAGCATTGTGGAAGCCTCAAGTTGTCAAAGGAGGCATGCAGTGCTAAAGGAAACATCTCAAAAGCGCCTCGTGAGCCGTAGACGAGGGAAAAGAAGTATCGCCGAGAGTACAGCATCGATCCCAGCAGAGCTGTACTTCAATCCTTTCTCGCTAGGGAGGCTATGCTTGTCGGAAAGGGTGCTGCGACGTCTGGACTAGCACCTTGACCCTTAATCGACCCACCTCCACATGGACGGCGACAGGGACCATCAACACGAGGACAGGGGCCTCGGAGAGCATCGTCATAGACTCTGTGGGTGAACCCACGCCGGAGCTGAGGCGCCAATAAGACCAAGTGGATTGGACGCGCAGGGGACTCGCTAGGCTTAAGCCACATGGACAACTAGAGCGAGCTGTTGGGCGATCGACAAGGCAAATTACCATTTGCAAGATCTTGAACCGACGACTCGATCTCGGGAAGGTTTCTCCACGCCTTGCTTGTTTTATTAAAGCAACCGCCATGGCACTGGCAGCTTGGCTTCATGGAACGTTTGATGGTTAACTCTATCGCAACCTACGTTGTCCGGCGCAAACAGCAGCAGCAGCCTGTTAGGGCGTATCCCGCTTTCTGGTGTATCCCTAGCACCTTTATCAGCTCGAAACCAACAATTGTCACACCTACACAGCCTTGAAGATGAGCGATTCAGATGGTAATTTCCCTTTACTTGCGCACTTGAACATGACAGCGATGATATCAGGCAGCTAACCTTCATAGGCGGCCGGCCCATCGAGGGCCACACCGATCCCAACTTTCCTCCGCCGACAGGTGAATGGGACACGCCTGTCATTATCTACGGCTACACCCCATCCTTCGCCCTCGCCGTCCTCGCCGCCGTCCTCTTCCTGCTCCTTGCCATCGTACACCTCTGGCAGTCCTTGCGCTACAAGTCGTACTACTTCCTGACCTTCCCCATCGGTCTCGTCCTCGAGGTCGTCGGCTACGTCGCCCGCGCCCTTTCGGCCAAGAAGAACCCCTACAACCTCATCTACTTTATCCTCAACTACTTCTTCATCGTCACGGCCCCCGTCTTTCTCGCGGCGGGCATCTACACCGTGCTCTCGGCCCTCATCCACCGCCTCGGCCGAAAGTTTGCGCCGCTGCCCCCCAAGTTTGTCCTCTGGTTCTTCGTCACGAGCGACGTCATCGCCACCATCACCCAGGTCGCCGGCGCCGCCCTCATCGGCGTCTCGCAGTCGAACCGCGACGACCCGACCACCGCCAACAACATCCTGCTCGCGGGTCTCGCCTACCAGGTCTTCGCCATGGGGTGCTTCGTCATGAGCTCGGGCGTCTTCGTCTGGCGCGCACGCCGTGCCGTGGCCGCGTCTGGGTTGACGGCCTTTGTGTCGGCGTTTGGCGTGGCAACGCTGCTGGTCTACCTGAGGACGATCTTCCGCCTGGCTGAGACGGCAGAGGGTCTCGGTGGGGAGCTGCAGACGAATGAGGTGTACTTTGGCGTGCTGGAATTTGCGCCCGTTGTCCTGGCCGTCATGCTATTTGCTGCATGGCACCCTGGGCGGTGCGTTGGGCGGAAGGTCTCTGGGGATGGCGCAACTGCTACTGAGAGAAAGGAGGTTGCCCGTGAGGATTCGAATCAGGCGATCGCGGTTTGATGAGGGCAAGGCTCGTGGCGCCGATGAGCTGCATGTGTGGATATGTGCCTTGTCACTTTGATACTTTGCCTAGGCATCAATCTCGTACGCGTCGGGCGTTAAGATTAGTTCAGATGATATCCCAAGACATAATAAATGAAATCACATTAGCAAACGGACTCTCGATGTAAAACTTGGCAAACGATGCGGGGAGCCATCAAGGATGGCCCGGCGACACGGGATGTAATCCACATGGGTAGGAAGTGGACTGCAGATCAGAAACCAGCCTTGAAATAGGTAGCACCAGCAGACCCATTCATCATCAATGGTTTTACTATCACATCGTGAGCGCCATGAGAACCTTACATGCATCATGTACAAGACAAGGACTTCAGTTCTGGTCCCCCCTTTCGCCCAGCAATCAACAGCGGCTCGTGTTGCGACCGAGGCTCGCCGGCTATCCTGACCGGCCCCGAGTTACAACGCAGACCTTATGGTACTAAGAAGCCGCTTCTAAAAAGCCGCTTCTGAGAAGCGGCTCCTCAGAACTTGTGAATTCATTGAGACAGCTCCGCTCCCCCTGGTCGAAGCGGCGGGAAGCGCGTCCTCGAATCCGCCCGACGGGCCGCTGGCGGACCCCTGTGTCGATCTATACCAAGCTCATTCTGGGGTACTAACGCGATTCAAATCAGCCTTCTCCACATCCTCGGCACGCAGATATGCTGGCTGCGGTATAAAGCTATGCGCGTCCACCGCCGGGGTATCGATTGAACACCTGCCAGTCGCTTCGTCTTGTGCCGTTTTGCTACCGAGATCAGTGGGGGACCAGCAAGCAGACATGACATCAGACTCGTCAACCCCGGACAGCGTCGAGCTGACGCCATGGGAGGTAAGGACTCTGCCATGGCGCAGGCGTCTCATCTGTGCGTACTGTTCTCTATCCCTCGATCCAGGGGAAATCTAGGAAGAGGTGAAGAAATCTGACCACACATCGCAGACATCCGTGCCGTGTTCACGTTCCTCTCCGGCGTAGTGCGCTCCAAGCTCTCCCCAGAAGCACAGAACCTGCACTGGCGCCAGCGGCTCGCCTTGTCCGCCCTGCAGTCCAAATCGGCTCTCCTGACATCAAGGCAGCGGACTTTTGGCTCGTCCGGCACATCGGCGGGTCATCTCATACGCGAGTACTGTCACGCCAAGGGCCTCTCCCTGCGCTCTGTCACAGTCTCGAATGCCGGCGCCCAGCCCTTCGCAGCCCCGCCTGCCATCCTGCACTTTATCACGCCGGCCAGCGCCCCAGCCACCGGCCTGACCGTTTTTTACGCCTACGGTGGCGGCTATGCAGCCCCCATCGCGGTCCTGGGGCACATTCCCATGGCTCTGCGCGCGGCAAAGACCATCAGCGCAAAGCAGGTTGTCTTTATCGAGTACTCGCTCACACCGCGGCACCCGTATCCCTCGCAGCTCGTCCAGGCCGCGAGCGGTCTCCAGACGCTGCTCGACGCCGAGGGCGTCAAGGCTTCGGAAGTCGTGGCCATGGGCGACAGTGCCGGCGGCCACCTCATCGCCTCGCTGCTGGTGCACATTGCCGTGCCGTCACCTTACGCGCTGCCGGTTGATTTGCACGGCGACCAGCTCGCGGCCGCTGTGATGATCTCGCCGTGGATCGCCATGACCACGGATCAGGCGTCGTTCGACACGAACGAGGCGACGGACTTTTTGGACCGCCCGGCGGCGCTGCTGTTCAAGTGTGGGTTTGCGCCCAACGTTGACGAGCCGTGGGCAAACTTGATAGACGCGCCTGATTCTGCTCACGTGTGGAACAGTGTGTTCAGGCCTGCTACTGGAAAGCCTGTCGTCCGGAAGGCCATGGTCTTGACGGGGACTTCGGAGGTTCTCATGGATTCGAATGTTGCATTCGGCAAGGTACACCTCAGGGGGGCAGATCTGGTCGTCGACAGGAAGACGGATGTTCCTGCGCGGTTCCCGGATGCAGACTACGTGTTTGTTGCGGCTGTGGAGGAGGCGCATACGCAGACCATCCTGGATGCTGCGGTGGGCTACGATGAGGGAAACATGTCGCGGGCCATCCGCGAGTTTCTCAAGCGACTGTGATGCTGTACAATGTGAGTGTCAAGGCTGAAGATTTGAGAGGCATAATGGAAAAGACTGTTGCTCTTCAAATTTCAGTACTCATAGCTAGCACCATGTTCCCTTCACTTTGCCGGCACGTAGGATTTTAGGGTAGATCTCAAAATCCCCTCATACTGCCCTACGGCCAGCCTTGGGTCACAGCGGTGCTCAGATGTTCGGCCTCGGCTCGAAACGATCCGCGAGACCCCGGCTCATAACCCCGCGTCGAGCCGGCCTCTGCCCCTCTTCGGCCGCAGGTCTTCCCCGCTCACAGCGGTCCATCGATTAGACACCTTCCGAAAAGCGTTGAGACTATGGTTTGCCTGCGAGAGCAGACAATGTCAAGAACCTGAGGTGCGATAGCACTGCATCCCTGGGTGTTGCATCCTCGGATGTTCTGTCGAGAGAATCAGATTGATTTGCCATTATACTTAGACAAACCGTGTAGCCTTGGCCTCAGCAATTCTTGACACCAGGTTCACACAGAGGCGTCCATTATCCAGAGCATCAACCGCACCATGAAAATACTCGCATCCCCGAAATTTCCGATGTGCAGATCATCCAAGGTGAGGCACCCTCCACGCAAGGACACGTGCCACACCTGCCGATAAGAGATCGCGACGATCGACCATGCAGTCCGAACAGGGAAGGTAGTACACCGAGGAGCAAGCTGCAGTAGGAATCTGCTCGGCGGCGGTTAAACCCGCAAATTATCAAGGAACTCGAAGCACGACATGGAATTGGTGTCTTATTAAAGAGCGGCCCAGTCAGGCGTTGGATTTATGTGTCGCTCTGACCCTTGGTTTCCTCTTGAGCGTGGTGGTCCATCCAGAAGGACAGAATTACTAGGATTCCTATCACTCTGCTGGTCGACTTGTTCTTTAGAACGGCGGCTATTGATTGAGATCATGGCACCGTCCTTCAGGTCTGTGCTCGCGGTCGCCGGAGCTCTCATTGCTCCCGTCGTCGGCCAATTTCCTCCCACGCCCGAGGGCCTCATTGTACTCAAGTCCAAGTTCAACGAGAACATCACCATCAGCTTCAAGGAGGTGAGCTGTCAATGAGCAATCAGCTACTTGAGAATACACTGACACGCCAAAGCCCGGCATCTGCGAGACAACCCCTGGGGTCAAGTCGTACTCGGGCTACATCCATCTGCCCCCAGGCCACATTGACGGCCTTGGCCAGGAGCAGACGTATCCCGTCAACACCTTCTTCTGGTTTTTCGAGGCCCGTAAGGATCCCGAAAATGCGCCACTCTCCATCTGGATGAACGGTGGCCCTGGCAGCTCGTCCATGGGCGGCCTTCTCTATGAGAACGGCCCTTGCTTCGTCAACCCAGACTCCAACACGACAAGGCTCAACCCTTGGTCGTGGAACAACGAGGGTAGGTTATGAAGCTGTCCGCTTCGGCAGCTATCCGGCTGACATTCGTCCAGTCAATATGCTCTACATCGACCAGCCTGTGCAGGTGGGCTTCTCGTATGACACCCTCAGGAACGTCACGAGGAACCTGCTCGGCAGCGTGCAGACCCTCCCTCCTGGTGCCCCGATCCCCGAGCAGAACGTCACCTTCCACGTGGGCACGTACCCAAGCAACAACCGCGATGCTACCTCTCAAGGCAGCCGCAACGGTGCCATCTCTCTGTGGCACTTTGCTCAGGTCTGGTCTCAGGAGTTCCCCGGCTACCACCCCAACGACGACCGCATCAGCATCGCGACGCAGTCGTACGGCGGTCGCTACGGCCCTGCCCTGGCGGCCTTCTTCCAGGAGCAAAATGAAAAGATCCGCGACGGCACTCTCGACAGCGGCGAGGGCGAGAACTACATCCTCAACCTCGACACGCTGCTGCTCGTCAACGGATGCATCGACCGCAAGGTGCAGTGGCCGTCATATGCGACCATGGCCTACAACAACACGTACGACATTGCGACAGTCGACGAGGCGACGTACCTCGGCATGATCGACGCCTTTGAGCGGCCCGGCGGCTGCGCCGACCAGATTGACGAGTGCCAACGTCTCGCGCGCCTCGACGACCCAGAGAACCTCGGCATCAACGCCAACGTCAACCGCGTCTGCCAAGCGGCCGAGACGTTCTGCTCACGCTACATCCGCGACCCGTACATCCAGCAGTCGGGCCGCGACTACTACGACGTCACGCAGGTCGACCCGACGCTGTTCCCGGACCCCTACTACGCCGCCTACCTCAACCAGCCGCACGTGCAAGCCGCCCTCGGTGTGCCCCTCAACTGGACCGGCTCGAGCAGCGCCGTCGCCAACGCCTACCGCGGCATCGGCGATTACCCGCGCCCCGGCTGGATCGAGGACCTCGGTGAGCTGCTCGACGACGGCGTCAAGGTCTCGCTGATGTACGGCGACCGCGACTTTGCCTGCAACTGGATCGGCGGCGAGGCAGCATCGCTCGCCATCCCCTGGAGCCAGAGCGACGCATTTGCCGATGCCGGCTACGCGCCGCTGCGCACGAGCTGCGCCTCGCCCAAGATTGCCGGCCAGATTCGCCAGCACGGCAACCTGTCGTTTGCCCGCGTCTACCAGGCCGGCCACGCCGTGCCGGCGTACCAGCCCGAGGCGGCGTACCGCATCTTCATGCGCGCGCTGTTCAACCGTGACCTGGCGACGGGGCGCGTCGACACGGCGGTGAAGGATGACTACTCGACGTCGGGCCCGGCGGATGTGTTGGGTGTCAAGAATGAAGTGCCGGAGCAGTATCCTGACTACTGCTACATCTTGGACACGAGCACGTGCAGCGCGAGGCAGATTGCCGCACTCCGCAACGGCTCGGCTGTCATTAAGGACTACATCATGCTGGAGCCGAGTTCGTAGGCGATAGGCCTAGTCTTGTAAGAGCCGAGAAGAACCACATACCTGCCGCTGCCGACCTTGTACTCTGCATGGTGTGATGCCAATTCATGTCAAAGGATTCATGACTCGGCCTGAACCTTTGGGTTTGTCATGGAGCATTCCCTGCCGTTGAGTAGGTAGTCCCAAATCAAAAAAGGAAAAAGCACGCTCTTATTTTCATCTATCATCGACCTACACAGGCACCTCAATCAACGCGAAATCCTC